GAACTCATCAGTGGACACTGATTGTTCTTTTTTTAGCTTGTTTTTTAAAAATTACTAATTTTTATTTTTTTGCCAAAATGATAGTTTTTCTTTTACAAGGAAGGTAGAAGTCCAAAGGCTTTTGGTATGAGAGGAGAGATATGCAAAACATTTGAATTCCTCTCTTCTCTGCGAAAAATGCTGCTGCTGTCCCGTCAGCATTTTGTTTCCACACAAGACAAGTCATCTGTCAGTTGCTCTGTCATCCTGGACCTAGAGGAAAAGATGTTCCTTATCTCCTCCAGCAGTCTCAGTGAAATATCACCCTCAAAACTCCGACTCCAAGAAGGAATGAGACAGTCAGGCTCACTCGGTAACTGCTTTGAAAACAGTAGCCTGTTTCAAAAGTGCTCATCAGTTGCTGAATTTTGTTAAACATGAGGCACTTCTTAAAAATAAGTGTATACTCAAGCCATTGATCTTTCTGACGATTGATTCACCTATAAGTATAGATCTATATGTAGATACACGATTTAGCAGTAATACGAGTTAAAAAAATCTAGTAAAAACGTCATATTTTCCAATTTGTGTTATATAATGTTGAATTTAGATGTTAATATTTTAACAAGTTCTACTGGCTGCCTACATTATGTCAAACCATCCACTTTTGTGAACGTCTATGTGACTGTTGAGACTTTTCAAATTTATGAAGGGGTGGGTTCTGCATACATTTTATTGGAAAGCTATTGATGATTGAAGAACATTAGCAGGTGGGGCATTTAATTTATTCCTGTCTTCCAAAAATGGCTTCTTGTTTGGCTTTGCTGATGTGGTCTTGGGTAGAGCACCGTTTTTCCTGAACTCTTAGACTGCGGCTCTGATTTTTCTGCACAGGTTTCCTTGCACAGTCGAGCCAATGCTCCTTGTTTTTTCTTGTGTGCGTGTGGTTTCTTTTTCCAGGATTCACTGCCTGGGATATCCCACTGTGTATATCTCACTTATGGTGTAGTGGTGCTTGAAAACTCTCATCTTGTTTGCTAGACTTTATTATTCTAGTCTAAGGTTTTTGATACTATTCATATTATGATCCTTTTAGGGACAATCAGTAATATTTGTGGCCAAGTCCTGAGGGGTCTCTTGAAGTCTGCAGCAGCGTGTGTTGGCTTTGTTTTCCTGGGGGTGTTTTCTATAGCTGCTCCTGTTCTGGAACGCGGCTCTGAACTCATCACCTCGGATGCAGGGCTGGCAGCCCGTGTGGAAGTCTGTGACCTCCCTGGGGTGGGAGTGACTGGGCTGTTCTGACAAGAGTTTTCCAGAGGCGTGCTCAGCTTTTAATTTGACATTTGCTTTTTGAGAATCCAGAAGTAGAAAGTTGGCTATGATGGTGCGAAGGAGCCTGAGCTGTAAGGGGAATAGATGAGGCAAATGCCCCTTAAGGGGAACGAGCTGGCATTGATGTCACCTCTGCTTAAACAGTGGGAGGGTGGATTCGCGGGTATCTTGCTTACACGCATTCGCACAATTCCTGTTTGGGTTTTCCTGGCCGAGGGATAACCCAACTATTAAGTAGATCCGGCGTGGGAGAGATGGAGTGGTGACCTTGGGTCTATAGCAAAAGATGGACGGATCTGTCTAGAGTGAGAAAATACTTGCACAAAAGGGAAGGAAATGTCATGGGATTGCAGCTCCGAAGCAAATTGTATAGGAGCTGGAGGTCAGTGACGGCAAAACCAGCTGAAGAAAGAAACACGACCGTTGAGAATAGTGGCCAAGCACAGCTTTGTCATTCCAGTGTGGCCTCCCAAATTCAGTTGCGGATGTTTTAAGTCGAAGACAAAGGGAATGTGCTCAGCTGAGGCGAGGGTCCGTGGAGGCCCCACGGGGTTGTCAGCGCGCTGGGCAACTGCAAGCCTGCTCCAGAGTTGGCTGCTGAGTCCACAAACTCCAGTCACAGCTTCTTAGCTGGGATGCAATGCCTGGACGTGCGGATGTACCCTGGCTTGAGCAGGTTGATGCTCTCGGGAAGACCCTTTCGAGAATATTTCGGTTTCTCTCTGGTTGTTGTCACTTACTGTGTTTTTCCTCCCCCCACTTGTTCGTGTTTGCCTCCCTTGACAGTGCAGGTGGGAGGCTGGTTCCAGCGCGGGCTGGTTATGAACACAGGCCCCGCCGCTGCTCCACCGGTGGGTTCCCGGCCTCCTGATAACTAATACTGCAGTCAGACGGCTAGATTAATGCTGCTCGGAGGCTGCTCACTCAAGTCCTTGACATGTTTCATTTACAATTATGTGGATTATTTATTTTAGGAGCTTTTGTTTTAAAGGGCTGAATCGCCCTACAGATAAATGAGCTGCTGGGCTGTGTAGAAAATATTGTCCAAATGTTGCCAAATATTGACTTCATAAGGGGGATATCAAGCTGCTGTTTATAAATCTGAATGTCTTAAAAGCACTCTTGCTTGCTTTCTCTGTTGTAGATGGTGTCTTAGCAAGTCCTGCGTTTTTCCAATGAACCCAATTTTAATACATGGTATTTTTGTATGCCAAACTGGTGTCTTGTCCTTTGTATATGTGGTAATGTTGATTTTATGACTACTGTTAAAACACATTTGCTATGATTAAAATTCATAAAACGATTTCAAATAGACTCATGTGTTGGTTATTACTCCCCCCCCCACACACACACTGTATGGAGATTAAAAAAAAATAGATTAGAATTTTAATTGACTAGGGCAGTCAAGCAACCAGGAGCTCCCAAGCCAAGGGTTTTAAGTGGATCTTCAGGTGGCTCCTCTGAGAAGCCGAAGGACGTATCAAGTAAGCCCAAGCATGTTTTTGCACCTTGGGTTTTTGCGGCTTCTGGTGGCCCTGCCTTTATCTCCCACTGTTTAGAAATGGCACCGTGTGTGTCCTGCCCTAGGTGGACCATCCCGTTGTACTGAGTGGAAACTTTATGCATGTGTAGTGAGAGGTCGTGTGACCTGCCCGGGCTCTGAGTCTGGAGAGGTGTTCTTCCATATGTTTTCATCAGTGGGACAGGGTGTTTTGGGAGAGCCATTTTTGATAAAGGCATCCTGTCTTTCAGTAATTCTGGATCCTGTCAAGGAGTTTCAATTCAGTTTAGCAGGTGGCCTACTCCTAATTAAGGGGTTATCAATGAGCTAATATGCATAGATGCTAGAGTAAGTATGTTCTGGCCTGTTGGGAAATTAAAAAATAGTTCCCATAGTTTTTCTGTGATTCAATACCCATTTAGTGTACTAAAAATAAAGCCTCGTGATAGGGAGCTCAGATTCTTGAAAATGTGAAAATTTATTTAACATATTTTAGAAATTCTGGCATAGTTTTTCCTAGTCTCGAGTGGCTGGTGGTGGGTGAGATGGGGAGTGGGGAGGGACACTCTTGTTATTAGAGAACTGCTTGTTCATGTTTGAGCTTTCCTATCAGCTAGAGATGCCTTAGCTTCTCCATGTCTTGGGTCTTCTACACCAGGACTAGATTGGAGGAGACTTCCCTGTAGACTTAATGGGGACCAGGGCCAGGGAGAGGGATTCATGAGAGAGCCCTACATTTGTGTCTTGTCTGGGGATAACTCACTTTGGCAACTTCTTCAAACAACACTGTTTAGAATGATACAGGTTTTCGTCCTCGGGGTAAGGCTGGAAGGAGACAGTGAGCCTGTGTCAGCTCCAGGATCTTTGCCATTCTGGCCCCTCCTTGCAAAGGGAGACTGAGTGTGAGTGGTTGAGGGTCCATAGGGGATGTTGCAGGGTGCACAGAGAGGGAGTGGAGCCAGGTGTCCACCGGGTGCCACCCTCACCTTCAATCCTTACACACCCCTTCTAAATAACCGGCCACGTTTCCTGAAATGATGCATTATTTTTCTTACTGCTTTTGTGATCATTCTTGGGAGAGAAACCCATTTTCAGTGTAAGCACTGAAGTGTAGCACCAGGGCTGGGTAAATGTCACCTGGGGGGAGAGAGGAACTGATCCTAGAATTAAACTGAGCCTCTGCTTTTCTTTTTATAGGTTTGAAAACTGCACAATTTTACTTGACACCCCCCCCCCAAAAAAAAATGGTATCAGCTGGAACTGGAGTCAGCCTCTCCCATTCCACATACCTACTGCCCCTGCATTCCCCATCTCTCTTCACACTCTTGTGCTTGGTAAATGATTGTTTTTGTTATTTGCAAGAGTGTGTGAGTGTACAGATGTATGTGTGTGTGCATGTAAGCATGTATATAGGTGTGTGTATACACACATATATGTATATATACACACACAAACATGAACATTTCATGGACTCAGCACAGATTTCTTTTTAAGGTTGAAAGAGGAAAGATCTTTAGAGAGAGATCTGAGTAGAGAAAAGTACTCAGAGTTGGCTACAAAGAAAGGAAATTTACATAGAATCATGAGGAAAATTAGGGAGAAGGAAGTTCCCCGTCAATCGCTTGGTCCTGCACTTGGGGTTCCCACTGGTCACCAGGCACTAGGGCTGCAGAGACAAGAAGCTGGAAGTGTCCCCTGTTACGGGCTCGCAGCCTTGTAGGGAGGACA